AAAGCTTGATCTCCCACGCCGCCTTTCTTTTGGGCACGGCCGATCGGCTCGTGCCAAAATGGCCACGGATAGATGGTATCAGGGCAGTTCTTACGATCGCAAAACTGATCCCCTAATTCCAGACCTACCTAGCCGATAAGTAGGAGACATATATATATGTATATATATATATATACACACAGACAGATGAAAGGATGGATGGATGGATGGATAAATGGATAGATAACTAGATAAATAGATAGTGACAGTGTGAGAGTGTATAATCACATTTCCAAAGAAGAGCGCCGAAGCCTGCTGCGCACCTGGGGCCCGGGCCGCCTCACCGCGAAGTTGCTGAGCACCAGGCACCTCTTAGAACTCTAAAAAGGTTCCACTCACAGAGAGTTGGTTTAAGGCTTGGGGTACACAGTCTCTCTTCAGGGCCTTTATAACTTTATAGCGTGTTTGCTGAAAGCTTATCGGGCTTAGGGCTTCGGCTTCAAATCTCTGTTGCCAGGATCTTCTTAGTGAAAAGGATCCTATCTTCTGACGAACTCGGTGCAATGAACTTCTGCACATGCGGCGAAGTTGAGTACACATCTCTTGGTCTCAACCCAAACCGAGCGCGAAGTCACATCTGACCTTGAGCCACCTCTTGCAGGGACTTCTGCTGCAGTATCAGTTTGTCAATGTTGGGTGCATTAAGAATTTGCACGACAGTGCCACCCAAGTTGTCTCGACTACCAACCAACCGGGTTCCCAGCATTCAAGCCCTGAGCCCTGAGCAACCCCTGGACTGTAAAGTGTCTGCATGTCGAGGGCTTAGGACCACAAGCTTGGAATCCTGAAGGTCCTCAAAGTCTTCTGTTCGAAGGGCGTTGCCTCTCCCCTCGCCGTGCGGCAGCTTCTATATCGCGGAGCCTCGTCCAACGGATGATTAACGCAGGCATCCCCATCCAACACTCTCCAAGATGGGCGTCCCTGAATAAAGCGCCTTAGCCTGGCCGAGTTCTTCACCCTTAGCCTTCGCTTGTGGAATGCGGGTAAAACCTAAAGCCTAAAGACGAGCAAGATTGGCAGAGCAGCAAATGCCCCGCAAACGTCTGTAGCCGCAGCCCCCGAAGGCCTCCTGGGCTCCGTGTGGTTGATGTAAACCTCAGGAACAGACTGAAAAGGAGGCCTTGTCTCAAAGACGGTCCCCTTCCGTCAAGGCCCAGGCCGTGGTAAGCTTCGAGGATGCCAGCTCCGGCTCCTGGTATGGAGAGAGCAGAGAGCACTGAGCGAAGCACAGACCCCGAAAAGCGAGATCACTCTGGCAAATGCATCTTGCGGGCCGAGACCTGGACCATGCACGCCGGACACCAGAAACGAACCCCAGAGTCCTCTCCAAAAGAACTCCAAAACCCGGAATTCGGAAGACACTCCCAAACCCCCCCTCCAGGAGTCCCCCAAAAGCCTAAACTGCAAGCGTGCGTTCAAGGAGGGCCTCGTTGCGGCTTTCCGCGGCAGCCGGGGCCGGCTCACCCTGTTTCTCCGGAGGGGTCTCCTAGGATTTCAGGTTTGGGGTCTTAGGAGTGAGCTTACAACATGGGCTTCAGGATGTCGGAGCTTCAGGGTTTAGGGAAGTTTAGGGTCTGGGTTTATTGCGTTTCTCCTAAGTTTCGGTCGGCAGCTTTGTGCATGGGAGTCGAGCGCTGTGTGGTTACCTGACTCGACGAAGCTGGACTCACAAGCTCTTCCTGCGATGCCCGTTGTCCTGAAGTGCAACACCGATGGCACTGAACCCCAGCTCCTCTTCTTCGTCCAGCTCTGTGGTGTCACCACCTCGGTGCACTTTGTGGGACTGCGGGCGCCAGGGGTTTGTATGTGAGTCTTCGGTCTGCGAAACCCAGAGGCCCCCATGCCACATCCTTACCTGCAGGCTTTATGCACTCACAAGTAGTTGCGACTGTGCCTTCGCTTCGGGACAGATCAGGGCAACGGCCTAATGTCTCAGGCCCACTTCGTAAGGCCAACGATAATGATCAGAAGAAAAAGCATAAACGCAAAACTAGTAACTAGTACAAATGATAGAGGCAACAGTAATTCCGTAATTACAACAAACGCTGCTATGCCTAGTCTTCCGAATGCACCAGAGCAAAGCGGCACCAACCCTCAGATCCAAGATCGCCCATGCCCCGCGGCTCACCAGTCGCTGTACAGGGTCCATGAGGCCCAGGCTACCTCGACTCTCTCGTGGTGCCTGACCAACTGCGACGAAGGCACGAAGGACAAGCAGCTAAGCGGTCCAGGCAGGATGAGAACAAGGCCGCACAGTGTCGGTGAGGGCTTCAATTGGCTTTCATGCTACAAGTACATCAGCTTGGCTCAAGTGCTGTACACAGCAGCTGCGGCGCTCGAACTGCGCTTGACACAACGTGCTGCCACAGGCTTTTGCTTCTGTATCCCTGCAAGCGGCCTCAGCACTGGCCGTGGATGTCCGCCCGCGTGCCTTTGTGTTGCCTGGTCATGGCTTTACGAAACCCTCAACTTGATCCTTGGGTCCTGTTCCATCATCCCGAAATTCGGTATGTTCAGTGCACCAAGCTTCTTTGCATTCCGACCCTCACGCCTCAAGACTCAAAAGGCCTGCCATGACTTCCACAACTTTGGGACAGGGCACACGATGCAAGATGTGAGCTACGCACTTGCATTGATGGGGCTTCAACTTCGGATGGATGTGGCCTTCAGGCTTGTCAGGACTCCTGACACGCAAGTCAGAGAAGCATTGGCTGATCAACAGAAGGCGCCCCGAAGAACTGAAAGAAAAACCCTGAACCCCATCTACACGCCCAATAGACCCTGAATGGGAGTTTGTCGAGTCTTCTGGGGCTTTGGCGAGGCGACGCTGACGCGGGCGAGAGCTGCGGCAGAGGTGCCGCAGGCGCAGGTGCTGTGGCCGCGGTCGAGGCCGTGGAGCCCGCGGTGGGCAGCACAGAGGCCGAAGGCATTGAAACTTCCACGGCCTCGAAGACAAGGCTTCCAGGGCTGTTTTGAAGTTCGAGTCTCCGGCCTCCTCGAGAGCTGGTGCGGCTGCCGCCGTCGCTGGCTCCTTTGCGACAGAAAGCGTGGACTCAGTGGACATCTCTCGCCGGGCTCTTCGCACATGGCTTGGCTTTCGGATTGCCGGGGCTTCGGCCCCGGCCGGTGACACCGGACTTCGTGGAAGTTCCGCCTCCGCTTCCGGAGGCTTCTCAGTCTCGGCTCGCTGCTCCATCTGCTTCCTGTCCACAGATCTACAAGGGGAGTTTGGGTGGGTGGGCTGCTTAGAAAAGCTGCGAGTGCTCTCAGCAAGGAGATCTCCACATCGCCAAAGACTAGATGCCGGTTGCAGTATCTCGTAATGACTCGGTCAGATCTCAGGGTTGCGACGCCAAGAACCATGATGCGTTTTTCGCTGGGTATACATATATGCTTGTATATGCATGCACACACTTTTAGACATATACATGTAGTTGTGTATGTGTATACATATACATATACATATATATATATACATATGCATACAAATTTTTGTGTAGTTACACGCACACACACACACACATGTGCACGCGAGTCTCATGTGCTTACGTGCATGGAACTTGTGACTGCAACAACACCTAGTCAGTATGCTAAAACTAAAGTGATTCGCCGAGTCTGCACTGTGTTCAACTTGTAAAGCACCTTTCCTCCGGGTCTCCACGTCCATACACCACTCCGGCACACGCGTCACAGCAGCCTGGCTAGGGATGCGATGTCAGCTGAGCAAAGCTTCCAAACGGGCCAACCCATTCCTGCTCAAGGGAGGCCTTGCCCATGCACTGTTGCACAACATACACTGGACATGGTGCTGCATTGAGGACGACATAGAACGACTCGCTTCGAAAGGCTTTGTCACCGTCTTTCAAACTCAGACCATTCCCAGCACGCATCAAAACTCCAGCAGAGTTGCAAAAGCCGGCGGGGTCTGAGCTCCGCACAGCAGAGACGACGAGGTGGACCTCGAGATTGCAGAGCACAACGACGCGGCATTCAGCATTGCTCAGGGAACAAGCAGAACTTCAGCAAGACGAACGTTGACCACCGCCCCAAGCAAGGCAAACTCTTGATGCACCTTTGACATCCCAGATCTGTGACGATGGGAGGTCTGAGGCACCTTCATATTTCTTTGCAGGGTGCCTCTAGCCTGTAATCTGAGGCGGGCACATGTCCAGGTCCGTCGCCTGGACTTGGTGAACGTAGGGTCTTGACGAAGTTAATGGCTCGCGCAGGCTCCGATGCTGTACAAAAACCGAAGCAGCTCCTCCCATATCCAGGTCCGTCGGGTTTGGGATGCGGGCTGCAGCTCTAAAGTTTGTCTGGGGTTCGGCTCGGAGACCATCTGCCCACAAGAACCAATGCCCTGCACATATCTGTTCGCAACCATAAATCACAATCAGCTTCTAACCTATGTAGATCTCAGGACATTTGGCTTCCTCGCCTTCGGGCTGAGCTTCATCCGAAACTCAGTTGGGGGTCAACGCTGGGGATTCAGGCGGTCAAGGGCTGGGATAGCGCTACCCGACCCTCCGGCTGCCGCACCGTCATCTGCTCGGGACGCTCCTTGTAGACGCACCCAGGTGTGTGCACGGACCTGTCGCAGCGGGACGGCACTCAACGATCTTGGCTCGTGACCTTTTCTAGAAATACACGCCTTAACGAGACTGTGAGCACAGGATCGGACGACGCACAGCTCAGGATGCATGGATCAACAGCGTTACAGACAGACAGACAGACAGACAG